ACTAAAGAAAATTCGTGCATAAAGGCAATTAATTTTTTAAAATTTTTCAGTAACATATCATTTACGAGTAGGTTTAATTGGCTTAAATATTTATTTATTTATATACGTATATTTGTCAAATCTAGAACACTTTTAAATATGCTACAAATGTGAATAAATGATGAATAAATTAATAGGTTTTGATTTTAATTTTAATTTTAATTTTAATTTTAACACGATGCAAATTAATTTTATTTATTTTTTTTTTATCCTATAAAGCTCGAACTAATGACATTACTTAATAAATTGTATTGTCATTAAGAATAAAAATGTTCCATTTTCTAATATAAAATCTAACTTTAAACAAACAATCTTAACTTTTAATATATAAAGAATCGTGTATTTTAATAATGTTTTATCATCTTAGAAATAATTATAATTTGGTGTCGTTGTATAATTGATGTTTAATGAAAGTAAAGATTCGAAGGTGAAATCGCGAATTATTGTTGATAACAGCTGGGCTCGGTCGGTGCGCAAAACTCATCAAGTCCACTTACATATTGAAATTTGCCAGGTAATAGAAAATTTATCTATCAGTAAAAATATTTTGTGAACATTTTGAAGTAGAATTAACAATTGTTTCAACAAAATATCATTTAAAACTCATCTTCTGTTCAAATGTTACAACACTTCTAAGAATTTATAAAAAAAAAAAAGAGGTAGTTTTACAAATGATCGAATCAATTATAATTACTTTTAATAATAAAATATTAAAATTAAAAGAATTAGGAATATATACAGTTCGAATATATACAGTATGAAAATCTGAAATCATATATAGAAATTATTGATAGATAAAAAGCATTTTTTATGATTAATTTCTTTATCTATATAACAGACACGCGTGCGGGCACACCACCTGGACTCATGGAATTCACTAATAATGGATTGACATTGAAATTTGTTATTAATTCCGTTCAATGTCACAAAATTCATACCTTTAATAATATACACTTTATTTATATTTAATATATATTGATATTTTGGACTAGGGACGTCAATAATGAGATTTACACTTGCAACGTATTTTTGACATTTGGACACACGAATCAACTTTGATCTCTAAATCGTATTTAAAAAATAAACGAGGAGAAAAATTATCTATATAGGCGTAAAGACAAATCTATATAATGTCAACAGTCCTACTTAAGAGTCACTAAAAGATTCTATAGATATTTATTTCTATAAGTAAACAAAATTACATTTCCAAAGATTAAATACGTTCTTCTTGAGAATGTATTTAAAAATTTTTTAAATTTATCGTGTGTATTAAAAAAATGTTGATCGAAGTATTTCAAAATTTTAATATCTTTTTTGGATTAAATTCAAAACGTGTCGAGCTTACAAGTTGAATTAAAAACTTTATATATTATAATTACATTAATTTGAATTTTTCCTTTAAAAATTTAAAAAATTTGCTTTCCTTTTTTTTTTTTTTTTTTTTTTTTTTTTTTTTTTATAGAATTTTTTGTAGGTTAAACTTTTTTTGTTGTTGCTTAATTAGAAAAAATTAATGATCAAGGACTAAATTAGACTAAGTAATTCCACATATTTAGAAAAAGACACTACTGAAACACTAATTGTCTTATTATTTTGAAATTACATTTATTTAATTTTTAAGTGCATAATTTCTAGATTAACGTCAAAGTTTCGAAAAATTTAATCCTTTTCAGGCTACTGCAACATGCCAAGACAATAATGCTTTTATAAAGGGAAATTACTTGATTAAACGAATAATGTTTTAACTAAAGTTTAGCATTAATTATAAAATAAAATTTACCACTCTTGAATAAGTATTATTTAATGAATTTTCGACCAATTTTTAATGCACTTTGAAAATCTATTTACCACTATTACGGAAGTAATTTAATATTATGTGCCAAGTCAAATAATTTAAAAAATAACACATTCTATAATAGATAAATCAGAATTTTGTGATTTGTCATTTATACGTAATAGATATGAAGTACGAAACCGGTGCAAAAATGTGCTCTCGTAAATTCAAAATAATTTTTATAAATAGATTCGTTTTTAATTTCAGATAATTAATTAGATAAAATTGTATTGAGCTGGTATTATTTCATTGCAGTAGAGACAGTTTTATTCAACTTTATGAAAATGAAAATTTATTTTGCACATTTGAAAATTGGGAAAAAAAGTAATTATGTTTTATGTTACAAATATCGGCTATTTACTGTGAATAAATGAACAAAAACATAAATACTTTAGATTCCAATACATTTCACTATTATTAATTATTATTATTTAAAATAAGCAAGCCGAATATATTGGTGAAAACACAATTTTGAAAGTGCCATAGGAAGAGATCCTTAAAAAATAACGACATATGATTTTAAGAAAAGCATAATCATTTAAGCTTTAAAGAAATTTTAGTTTACAATCCGATTCTAGGCTGCATATAACAAGAGTTCAATGTTTCTAAATAAGATAGAATTCACTAATATATAAAAGATTTTGATAACTAGAAATAAGAATGAGAAAGAGAGTGAGAGTGAAATAATAAAAAAAGCTGTGTATTCCCAAAAGCATCAGAACATGAGAGATTATAATTATATATACGAGTATAAAGATTTCGTTTCGAAAAAAAAAACTTGATTGTTTCGAAACTTCTATATGAAGTTATTTCTATTTTTCAAATATATTGCTAGTGAGAAAATAAATATATCCAAGTAAATGCAGTAAGTGAAAAAATTAAATGTTTCTCTTGATTTAGTTATAATTTGACGATAAATTAATATGGTCTTAAAGAAATTTTCCTGTTTCTTTTCATATCAAATAATATATAATGTTATATAAAAGTTTTTACATTTTTATGGAAATGAAAGTATTTCTAAATTTTAGTGAATAATATATAAAAACAATTAACAATGTAAACAAATCTAATAATATTCGTTAATGTATTCAAGTAAAACTATAATATTTTGTTTTCTTTTGTTGTGTTTCTTTTATTATTATTATTGTGTGGTTGTTGTTTCCCCCCCCCCCCTAATGGTAGATAGCTTCGAGTAATTAAAAACTAATTTTGTTATAAGGACAATAAAGTTTAGGCTAGAATATACATTAATTTGCATTATAAATAAGAATATAATTGTGTATATCATTTATTTCATTTCGGTAATTGAACGTCTTTGTCTGTCTGTATCTCTCTCTCTCTCTCTCTCTCTCTCTCTCTCTCTTTCTTTCTATATTTCAGTGTATTTTAATAAAAAGTATTAATAGAATATCACTCTAAATTACATTTGATAACATTTTTATATGTTTATTAAGATGACGTGGCAATCATATTAAAAATGTTCGGTTACAGCTTTTTGGCTTGTAAACCAAATGCTTTAGAGCACGTCATAAAATAAAGAGATACATGTTGAATAAATAAAAAGCTAAATAAAAAAGTTTGATAAGCCTCGATACTACCATTCATACCATTCACAATGAGCACAACGTGTACTTGCTAATGAGGCGAGAAGCCGTTGCAGCTGAGTCGAATCAGTTGGCACAAATGATTGCTTCGAGTATCCTGGAAATTCGGGAAATGAAATGCCAACTTCATAAAGCACGTGATAACGATTGGTTATAAAAGTCGCCCGAGCAGTCATAGTTAAACGTTGCGTATGTTCTCGACAACAATGGCCCTCGGCATCGCTAGTCCCCGCTGAGAAATAAGTCCAGCAAAAGATGCCCCAATAGGCCCTTCGCGCTCATCCGTCGATTGCGAGGTCGGGGAACCGTGCGATCCTGCTAAGCCGACTAGTCGACGAACTAGAGCGAGCGAGAGGGCTACTATCGCGATAACAAATCCCGCGATTACGGCTATTATGCGCGCGGCTGATACGTCCCGAAGGTAATCCGCGTGCAATTGTTACGAAGACGGAGGCGCGAGCTGAGTCGTCGCCGACGTCTCCTCAATTCTCTAACGCAACTCGAGGAGGTTCTTAAGCCCCGAGCTGCTACTCCGCCTCCCAGCCTCGTGGAGCGCGCGCTTGCGAAGTGGCGAGGGGAGCTTATAAGCTCGGTCGGTCGCCTCCTCGACAAGGCCGGTATCGCGTTTTACCTGTCGAGGTGCGCACCTCGTCCGCTCCTTCTCTCGCTGGATCACCTCGCGCGTGAAAATGGCCGCTTAGCCAGTCGTGGCTCCGGAGTCTCGCTTCCCACCTTCCGACACAAGCCGACGCCTTACATAAAAGGAAAAGGTGCATGTCGTGATATAACGTGCGCGCGCGCGCGCGAGCGAGCGAGCGAGCGAGTTGAGAATGAAAATTGGAAAAAAGCTATACGAGGAGATGTCCGCGTGAATGGCGGCGCGTCACGACCACCTCGGCCGTCCCACATCGAGTTCGCGTGCATTAACAATTCGTGCGGTTAAAAAGACTCGGGCACTTGGAACTCACCACCCCCCCCCCCCCCCCCCCGAACGAGGAAGCTCGAGGACGAGGCGTTCGGGCTTATCGCGAGCTCGGCGATCGGGGGCCCGAGATGATTGTCGTGGTACGCGGGCAGATAAGGAGGAGGCCAGGTAGACGAAGCGAGAGGCGGTCGACGGACGACGAGTCGCTGCTCGACGCGGACGTCGCGCGGTGCGCTGGATTTTTCGGGCTGAGGCGCTGCGCCAAATGCGAGTACGAGTGAGTGAGAAAGAGCGTGCGAGCGTGCGTGTGCGTGCGCGTGTGTGTGAGAAAGAGAGAGAGAGAGAGAGAGAGAGAGAGAGAGAAAGAGCCAAGGACGCGATTTGCTCGCGATTAGCGCGTTGTGATCGCCCGACGATGAGATGGGACATTAGTGGCGCGGCTAGCTGGGGTAGACGTCGGTTGCACCCGAAGAGCGGCGATTTTTAATAATTCGCGATCGCACGGCACACTTAACCGCGGTGTTAACGAGCGGAAGGAAGTCGAGAGGAGTCGATCGCGGTGAGGCCGATGTTAAACGCGAGTGACTGGTAGCCGAGGATGCCCAACAATAGTTACATCGAGGTGCTGAACAGGAAGGCGGCTCAGGATGGTGCCGCCACCTGTCAGCTGGAGGTCGAGCCGCGAAGACAGAAGCCCGGTTCCGCCGAGGAGATGCCGCCGATGCAACCGAGCAAATCCACCAAGTCCACGCAAATCGACGGCTCGCTTTGGAGGCTACCCAACCCGGGATACCAGGTGGGCTAACTCGTCGTGCGTGCCCACGCGGCTTAGTCGCGCGTTTCGTGATTTGCAAAATACAGCCAACTCGGTGTTTATTACGACCGCGAGTTATGTTTTCACGACATTACGACGATTTTAAAATCGACGACCTTTGCAGTGCTTTGTAGCGGCTGAATTTTTGCTTCATTACATTGACATTAACATTATCTGGAAGCAACGTTGTCTTTGCTTGGCGAAATTCCCGAAATGATAATGAAACATTAAAGGGGCCATTCGGCATCGTTGCGCGCTGTCAAACGGCTTTAATGAGCCATTCGCCGATTACTATTGAAGAGAGATAGACATAAATCGATAATTGTCATTGCGTATGATAATAATCAGATTCTTATTTAAAATTGAGTATTATTTGTAATTATGAAGCTAAGTACCGAATGACGCGTGAAACATAATAATGTGAAGTTAGACTTTTCATTTGCCATTCCTTCGCATTACTTAAGCATTAAAGCGCGAGTATTTCGAGACTATCACAATTTTCATAGGCACAACGTTCACATTGGAACATTACCGCCGCTCCATAATGCTTCTTGCGCTAATCATAAAAAATAAACGAAAATAATAATAACAGCAACAGCAACAACAACAACAACAACAACAACAACAACAACAATAATAATAATAATAATAATAATAATAACAACAACAGATAATATAAATATCTTTTGAAATGGAAATAGTAATTTGAAAGTCCTATCCTAACGATCCTCGCAGTAAAGAATAGGAGATTAGAATTTTGAAATTTGCTTGACATTCACAAGAAGTTTTTTTCAACATTCGTACTTTTTCAACGATACATTGTACATACTGCGAGGATGAGTTTTTGTAATTGAAATATTAATGTTGGCTGCAAGTAGCGAGTAATGAGTATGACGAATACGATTGTCTTTTTCATTCTTTCTTTCATTAATCATAAAATTAGGGAAGATATTTTATCCCCTTTTGTCCAGCTCTACCATTAGCATCGACATTTTTTTAATCTATACCTGTGCTGTCTAATATTATAATATATTTTTCAACTTCTTAGGTAAATTGTTATGCGGAGATATATCAATAAAAATCATAGATATTATCACAATCGCTTAATCATGAATATCGGAGAAATTGCCTATATACATATGCGTGCACATATTGTACCATTGAATTTCAATTGTCAATCAATTTAATATAAATATTCGGAATTTCTTCATCAAATTAGATAATTTTTATTTTTAATTATCTATTTTCATTAATACGTTGATTCTTAATGCTATGATAAAACTCAATATCGTATTATGTATTTATATTAGCTGATAAATCTTGATTTTATGATTAAATAAGTCGCTAGTAGATTAAAAATAATCTGAAAAATACAAATATGTATGAGGAATAACGTAGATTTAATGACTTTACGATGACAATTACTATAAAACTTACTATTTTTAACAACGGATTTCAAGCTTCCTTTCAATAATTACGCTAAATCCTATAATAAAACGAGTAATAGTAATTTATAATTTAATAATTTACCAACGGAGTAAATTATTTATCATAGTCGGGAATAAATTTTCAATTAGATTTAAAAAATTTTTATAATTCATTCAATTGTTGACTAATTTATACACTTTGATTTAAGCTGTGAACGATTTTTAGTTTTGTTATTCCTAATTAATACACGTTTATTGGATTTGATGCTGTTAACTAAATAAAATAGAGCAGTAAAGAGCAAAGAGACTAGTAAAAAAAAAAAATTAATATTAAATATATATTTTAATATACTTACTTTCATAATAAATGATTCATATTTATTTCATTTATTAATATTGTTATCACAATTCTAATATAATGTTTAAGAAACTTTGATAGTAACACGTGTTACATCATTTAGTTATATGTATTTCAAAATCATAGTAACAATGTAAATGTAAATTAGTAAATGTAAATAAAAAAATTATTTAAAAGAATTTTAATAAAGAATTACATGAATTGTCATACATAGTTTACAGTAAATACTTGTGATATTGTATTAAACTCTGTTTCAAATGATTTATATTAAAAATGCCAGATACATAAAAATAATAGCTTTATAGATTAGTAATTGTATTATAAATAAATCCACGATAAAAAAAAAAAGTAATACTTTAAATTTTATATTTTTCAAGATTTTTGATACGACAATATATTTATTTGTCCGAGTGAAAGTAAATCGTAATCGAATTAATCATTTTTCAATTATCAAGTAACAAATAAAATATCTTGCTTAATGTGCTATACTATTCATATTATTGATTGCGTATTAAATAGAATATTATTATTATAAAATATATTTAAAACCTTAATGATCTATTTATTATTTAAGAATATAGTCTAATAATTATATGTATAAAAATTTAAATAATCAGCTATTGTAAAATTTGATTAAAAAAATTAACTCATATATATATATATATATATATATATATATATATATATATATATATAATAATAATAATAAAATATATAAAACAAATTTTTCTAATGAAATTATAATACTATTATTACAATTCATCATTACTATTTTTTACTTTTATATCACAACTGATAATTATGTAGATCAACTTTGATTGTAACGATGACAATACTGACGGTCGAATGACAACCTTGAAATTTTGGGATTTACAAAAGTTTCTTCAAATAATAATTAATATCAATAATAATCTCTTTACGATTTTATCAAATTTATATGAAATTCTTTATTCGTGCAAACTGGTGACTTCAAAAACAATACAGCAATTACAGAATACAACATTAATAATTAATATATTTTACAATAAGTAATAAATATAATAATTAAATAGATAACAAAATCTTTGAAAATAGAAGAAATAGTCAATCATTTAGTAGTCAAGCACTGCTAATGAATATTAGCATGCTATATGAATCATTGAACTCATAACGTAAATGACGAAAAGAACAGTTTAATATCATGAAAAATTCATCAATCAACGATATGAAATGCTGTAAATTAAATAAAATTTTACATCGTAATAATGCAAAAGAAATAACAAGGTAATTTAAAATTTATAACTTTTATATTTTTAAATAGTATGTTTTAATATTAATTATTAGACGTAAATAAGGACAATAATAGGACAGTTTTTATAATTTCATATATTCTCGGTAATTAATATATTGTTCAAAGTAATTCAAAGATGGTTTTTGAAATTAATGTCTTATAATTAATTCTAGAAATTAATAAGAAAAATTAAGATAAATATTAAGATTAGATTAATATAAAAATATTATTATTCTTTTACATTATTTAGAAAAGCATGAACAAATCTGGTTAGAATATATTTAATCAAATAAGTGTTAAATTACGAAGACAATGAATTAGATTTTCTATTCTATAAACATTAATTTTAATTGTATTATCATCTTCATATCATGTTTGCTTATCTCTATTATGTAATCGACAAATATGTTGTCAAATATTGTATTCATCTTTGTGAATGGAAATATAAATCATAAAAATAAAATATTAAAAAATAATTCAACATTTTTTTGAAATCATGGCATTTTACGAAACGTTTTTGCAATGCTTTTTCAATTTTAAAGTTGTGATACAATAAATTTTTTTTAATTTCAAGTAAAATTTAAAGTTAAGTTTAAGAATCATGTTTCACGTTACTTTTATGGAAATATATATGTAATTAAGAAAAATCAGAATTTATTTAAGCTTTTGAAATAATAATTTGTTACGTAAATAAGATTAAAAATTTTTTTTTTCATTAAATATCATTATGCAAGTATTTTTATATTTACGATTTTTACTGTAATGAATCCTTGATTATAAATTTTCAATTATTTGAAGGGTACGTAATATATAAATATTTAATCTGAAATAATAAAATGCAAATATTGCCTGACAATCTTAACTTTAACAATAACTTTAAAATATATTTTAACATAAACTATTGGAAAATTTTCTAATAGAATCTCCGGTATATAATTTATAACTTCGATGCTTGTTATTTGATCCACAACTAATGAAAAATTTATATGACCTCTCTTTTGAATATTAATCAATTATTTTTCGTACTTTATTATTTCATCGCAATTATGTCGTTATTTAAAAAATGAAGATAAACAAAAATAATGTGGAAATTTCATCAAATTTTTCATAATTAAATTATCTACTTGTACATATTTCCGTAATAATTGAAGTTGTACTTGCTTACGACTATTTCAAATTAAATCTTTATTTGAATTAAAAATATTCAAAATTTAATAATATAATTGAATTTAATATAATATAATTTTAATGGGGAAATTTTATTTCTGTATTATTTCATATTATTTTAGATTATTATTAAAAAATTTTCCTGGATATATAGTTAGTTTTATCTCAAGGACCAATTAGAAGAATACTCAAAGGATAATACTTAATATAAAAAAAATTTTCTACTAAAATCATTAAATTTTATTGTCTATTTAATACACTAAATATAACTATAATTGCAAAATTATTGGAGTATATATTTTATTATTAACTATTAAATTATCTATTTATAAACATTCAGAAAAGAAAAAAAGAAGAAGAAAAGAAATGTAGATTGATTGTAACAATATTTTTTAATTCTAATAGGCAAAGTTCATAAATTATTCAAATAACTTCAATGAAATGTTGTAAAACATTATCTTTGATTTGTCTAATTGTAAAATATAAATTACTCGATCATTAAAAACTCTATAAATATTTAGATATGAGGTTTAATTTTTATCTTTATTTCTGTTAAAATAAAATAAACAAATAAATTAGTAAAGTCCTATTTCTATTTCAAAATCATTTACGTAATATAGTATTAAAAGTTTATATAGTAGATAATGTTTACTTAAAATTAATGTTGATATTATTATTATAAAATTAATGTTAATTATAAATATTTATGTTAGAAAGATTATTATAAAATTTGTATTTTGTTCAACCATATGTAGCAATTTATTATTCACATTATTTGCTAACAATTTTAATTAAGGAATATTATTTGTAATTGATTGATTACCTGCAAAGAGTTTCCGTCTTAAATAAATGAATTACCGTAGTATATTGTATTGAGACACGTGTAATGCGAAAATTAATTAAAATTATAATTCGGATATGAATCTATTTAATAATAATATTTAAGAAAAAGTGAGACAATTGATTTAAAATTGTTATGAGAGTACTCTGCAGTATGCTAATACTAATGCAAGTATTTCAATTTCACAGTTTTTAATCACTTTTTGTTATTTTTTGCATAGAACTAAACGCAAATAAAAGCACGTTTTATAGCATATTTGATTTTTTTTTATTACACTATAAGAATTATAAATAGATTTTCTAACTTGCGAGTAAATGAAAGAATGGAAAAATTAATAAAATTTCTGGACTTGGTTTGATATAAATATTATACATTACACATAAACCCAACGCGCGTACATACGCACGCACGC